TGAAACAACTGTGCAAGGGCCTGGCAAGATGTGAGTGTTGTTGGAGCAAGGCTAATCCTTTAAGGACCCAGACCTTCATCCAAGTGAGTGTCCCCTCCTCTGCCCCAGTTCCCAGTTCCTCCACAGCCTCTCTTCCTAAGTTACTGGATTTTTAAAATGTCAGTGTCACAGCAGGCAGCCCTTTGGCAATGAGCTTCCTCTGGATTTGGCTAGGATGGTCTTTGGAGGTCAGGGCACAAGGCACGATCCACAATCCCTCTTGAGTTGCCCTGGGCTTGAAGCCTTGGCAGAATCCAACAGAACTGACACTTAGCCTGGCACAGCCTCCCCACCCCCCAAGTCTATCCCAAGAAGGCAGATGAAGTTTCCTCCCTCTGACTTCTGCCACAGTGTTTACTGTATGGTAAATACACATGCACATAAGGGCAGTAAGAGGTCCTTTTTAGGAGCAGCCATTATGGACTAGATGGAGGAAGTAGGAACTAGAAGGCTGGGTAGGTAGATGTGGAGAGGAAGGGGCAGATTTTACAGATTACAAAGCACTCCCCCCTGCCCCCAACAATCTTACAAGATAGACTGGATAAACCTTATTCCTATTTTACAGAAAAGGAAAATGAGGAGGCCCAGAGATGTTAAGGCATTTACCCACACAGCTACCAGAAGGCAGTGTCATGACCTTTTCCTTGACTCAGCCTCCACTGGGTAGGGAAGGAGGAAGTTATGGTTGAACATTCCCAAAGATACCTCTACCCCAAACGTATCCTAGGACCTGAGGAGCTGGTAGAGATGGGGCTGCTTACATCCACTATAATCTGTATCCCATCCCTTGCCTGGTACTCTAAAAGAGGACCTTAAAAGGCCACTTGGCACCCTAAGCAAACTGCTCTGGGTCATGGCTCCTCTCTCCAGCCTTCCCCCCTTCCTTTCCCATCTTCCTCAGCGTTTATGGCCCTTCCTGGCCTGAGTGTCATTTTTCCATGGGACATTGGAGGCTGGTGAAATCACATCTGGAGTCTAGACTCAGAGACTCTGTGGGCTGGGCTTCCAGGCTGGGCCTGGCCTGCCCTGCTCCACACTGTTTGCTTAGCTGGAGGTATTTAATTAGAATTAAAGTGGCCTCCCTTGTTCCTGCGGACAGGCCCGCTGGAAGCTGGGCTGGAAGTCATAGAAAACATCTGGGGGAGGCTGCAAGGGGTCATTAGATGGCAGAATGCGAGGCGCCGCTTAGAGCAGCCACAGCCGGCGTGGGGCAGAGCTGTTTCAATACGGCTTTTGTGGATGGACAGCCAGAGCCAGGCCAAGCTGCCAAGGCAGCAAACACTCTGCTGAATGTTTGTTCTGGCAGGCTGAAGGATCTTGGGGGGCTGCTGCTGGGGTGGGGGTGGGTGGTAGAGGCTGGGGATTTGTTGGGGGTCTGGCCTCTTTCCTTATCTACCTCCTTGGAGAGAGGGGCCCAGAAGGATGTTAACTGTTGTTCCTCTCACTCCAGGGTTTGTCACTCCTGGCCATGACATTCTTCAGCTTGGCATTAAGCAGCAGCATGGTGGGGAGGTAGATCCCACAATTGGCAGGGACCTCAGAGACCACCTAGTCCAACCCTCCACTTCACAGATGAGGAATGTGAGGCCCAGAGAGGGCAAGTGACTTCTTCACAGTCATATAGCTAGATAGCTGACACACTAGGTCATGAATCCAGTAGAAGATACGCTCTTGGAAGGCAGGGACTGCTTAGGTTTTATATCTGTACCCCCAGTGCAGAACAGTGCCTGGCACATGGTAGACACTCTGAATACTTGTCAGACTGACCCCAGGTCTTTGACTTAGTCTGACACTCTTCCCACTGTGCCAATGGTCTTATGCCATACCAGGCTCTCAAAGCCCAGGGAAGTTCTAGTCATAGACTGATGCCAACTCCAAGAGGGCTGGTGGGCAGAGGACATCCAGTCTGGTCAGCATGTTGAGCACCTATTACATACTAGGCACTAGGCACATAAACGGAAGAAGGCCCTGGCCCCAGGGGCTGACTTTCTACTACAGGATTCCTGGATGCCTCTGGGTCTCTCCCAGCTAGCCCCACTTCTGGGACTCACAGACCATAACCCACATGAACCCTGTGCCAGCTGCCTGAGCCAGTGCTCCTCCAGAGGCCACCCTCCTCTGAATTCAGGGCTGGTCCTCCAGAATCCCTCATCCAGGCCTCACAGATACAACTTAGGCCCCCTTTCTGCCATGTTTAAGGGCTTGTTCTGGATTTGCTGGTTGTAATCCTAAGGGATGAGCATCTCTGAGGGATCAGAAAGTGTGATCTCAATTGGGAAGAGGTCATGCTGGGGAAGAGTACAAGAACAAGCTAAGGTTGGATGGGTTCTCCCCATAGTCCATGTCGATTGCTGCTCACTCCCTTTCACGGAGTCCATGTTTTCAGTGCCAATCCTCCAACAGCTGTTCTTTACCATCAACATACCAACAGTCCTGGAACTCCCTCCTTCTGAGTCTCTAGGGTCCCAGGCTCAGCTTTTTGGCCAAATTCCTCTTCCCACCTTTCTCCTCTCTGAGTGCTGGGATGAGAGTTGCTCATTCTTATGTGGCCCAAGGGAACCTGGAGGGGATTTGAGGGTGTGAGAGTGTGTGTGTGTGTGTGTGTGTGTGAGAGAGAGAGTGTGTGTGTGTGTGTGTGTATGTGTGTGTAAGGTCTCACCTACAGCCCTCTGGAAGCTGTGGGATTTCAGGGAGGGAAAGCTGGGAGTGAAATTCTGGAGACTCCTGGGTAGGTCTGGTTACTTTTATCTGGGAAAGGGAGACAACCTCTTCCTCTTTGCTTAAGGTCTCTGAGATCCTTTCAGAGGGATGGCAAAATACTAACTCTCATCAAACCAGTCACTGGCAAGCATTCTTCTCATTCTCCTGGCAGAGAAATGGTGGTAGAGAGGGGGGAACTGGCTATTTGGCTCAAGGGGATTGGTGGTACAGCAGACAGAGAACTGGATACAGGAGGCTCGGGAGATTTGGGCTGAAACATCCCAGCTTTTCCGCTCACTCACTGTGATCTTAAAGTCCTATCTTCTTGGAAAATCTTCTAATTTTCTCTTAGAAACCTAATTACTGGGTCATCTTTGAGGTCCATCTCTGAGGCTTTAAATTCAATTAGCTGAAATCCAAAAGTCTAAAGGCCCAACCTTAGTCTGACACTTCCAACCACTAGGATGCCTACTCTCACTGGCCTCCCTGGACACCTTCCCCAGGGCCAGGCACTTTCCCTGTCCCCGTGGTTGGTGCTTGGGGCTAAGGGGCCTGTGGGCCATTACCACCCAGCAGTAGCTCCTCCTTCCTGCTATTCAGGAAGCAGGCCCTATGATGCACTGACTGCTTCTGAATCATCTTCAAATCTGCACCCAGCTGCAGGGTGGGCAGGGCAGAGCTGAGCTAATGTCAAGTGGGATCCCCGACTTTCAAGGACAGTTTGTCTCTGTGGTCCTGGTGGGAGTGGAGTAGCTTTTGTCTGGGGTCCAGCTGGGGCTCTGTGGTTTCTACCTAAGAACATCGGAGTGGCTGTGGGTCACATCAAGGGCAGAGAACCCAAAGCTAACATGTTATCATAATAGAATGTATTCATTGTGGGAGGGCAGACCTGAGGTCTTACTTTTCTAATAGTGGGGATAAGCTATCCTCAGCCAAAACCCCTCATTTACTCAAGAGCTCCCTTTGGCAAAGTAGCTGTCCAAGGTCAAAGTCTGGGGCCTTCTTTAGCTTCAAGCAAAGTTCATAAACTCATGACCCTCGCCTTATCAGCAGTGGCTAAATGATGGGGCCTTATGACCAGAGGGGAGCCCTAGTAGGATTTAGTTTGGAGGATTCACAAAATCAGAGACAGTGGAAGGGATGTTGGAGAGTATCGGGCCCCACCTGAACATCCCTACTACCAGGGAGCTTGCTCATCCCCTTCACGGTAGCTCTCAATCACTCCTTTTCTCAAACAGCTTGAAAACTTTTTTCTTCAGCCCTGCAATTCCCTGGACCTTCTTCCCACGATGGCAATGATGGGCCCCACCCCCAAACCTCTCTTGGGTGCAGGGGCCCTCAGGGCTGAAAGAGTACTGTATGAAAAAGGGGAGTGCCTAGGGAACAATAGAGCACGTACCCAAGTCCCTCTACCTTTAGACTAGGCATATCTTCCCACCTCCAAATGGAGCTAGTCCTGGGTGGGAGGTTCTTGGGCTCTTTCTTTTTTTAAAGTGTGTACTGGAAGGAAGGACGTACACCAAGTACACACTTTGAGCTCATTCTGCCTGTCTCCTCTTACCTCAATATAGTTAGGGAAGAAAAGAGAAAGGTTGGAAGAAGCTGTTGGGCTCTATCTCCAGAGAAGGCAGGATTGCAGGCACCTCCTGCTGGCTACCTGGAATCCCTCTAAAGGCTAAACCAGAGATTCTTGGACCTTTCAAAAACTCTCTGCCCTGAATTTTGTGCACACAGCAGAAAGGGAAGGCTGCTGTGGGCCGGAGGAAGGAAGGGTCTGAGCTTTGCCCAGGGGTAGGCTTGTCTCCTAAGCTCCTAGAAAAGAGCAATGTAAATTAGCACCAAGCACGGGTCCAAGGGAAACCAGGATTTGGGGGTCAAGAGGCTTCCACCCTCCAATGCCTCTCCCCAAGGCCTAGGGCGAAGTGGAGACAAAGACAGATGTGCTGCCCCCTTGGTTCTCACTTTTCACTTGACACAGACTTTTAATGTGAGAGAGAGGGGTTGACGGTAATACAAAAAAAAATTAAAAACCAGGCCCTCTCACCACCCATCACCCTCCCCACAACAGATAGCTGGGGTTTCTCTGCCCCGTGCTGGGGAGGGAGGACACAAGAGGTACACGACCAGAAACAAAGAGAAAATCCTTGGCTGGGCTCAAGAGGGAGAAGGGACAGGAGAAGGGCCCAGAACATCAACATCCAGCTCTGTGGGGCCTTTGTCTCCCCCAGCTCCTGCACTGGTGGCAGGAGGGCCCCCACCCCAGCTCCAAGCCCACCCTTACTGCTCCTTCTTTTCCGTCTCGGAGGAAGTGGACGACGACAACAGCGCTCCCTCTTTGCACTCACTGGCTGGCTCCTTCTCCTTGTCATTTGTCTCTTCGTAACTGGAGGACAGGGAAAGGAGGGCAGAAATGTCAGGTCAGAAAAGGCAGGAGGGCTCTAAATGTAGATGGGAAGGGGGGAGTGAGAGGAAGGGTCAGTATCAGTGGTGCCCTCCCACTCACCACAAAAACAGGCCACTGAGAGAAGGGGAGGACCCCCTTTTTCACAAGGGAGAGCACCGAGTAGCTCAGATTCCTCTCCTGCCCGCTAGGAGATAACCCAAGCTCTGGCCCCAAAGTATATAAGTATATAAGAAACCAGGTCCAGGGGCCCCACAGTCTAAGCTTAAGCCTCACTTCCTACACTATTGTAGCCACTCTGATTAGTTCACAGCATCACAGGATTTACAGCTGGAAGGGATTTTAGAGACTATCTAGTCTTACCCCTCATGTTATAGACAGGCAAATGGAGGCTAGCGGTTAAATGACTTGCTCAAGTCACATACCTAATACATAGCAGAGCAAGGATTTGAATCCAGGTCTCTCTGACTTCACAGCCAGCGCTCTGCACCATGCCTTGCCTCCCTGTAGCTTCACTTCCTCATTTCTATTTGGCAGCAAACAGGGCCCAGACAACTCTAGATCAAGCAGCCTCACAACAACTCTACTTTAACTACCAGCCTGATGCAGCTTGGGGTGACACAACTTTCTCTCCCCTCATCCCAGGGGTTCAATGGGAAGCATTGAGTCCTCACAGAGGATGGGATTCCTGCCTCTCGTCTCCCAGCCCCACCGCATTGATCACATCGCCTTGGACCAGCCATTTCTCTGCACCCCTATTTCTCTAACAGGGAGAATGACTCTACTCTTCACAGCTGCCCTGTAGGAGGAACTGAGATCTGCAAGGTGTTCGGAGATCCCTAGAGAGGTGTTTGGCAAATACAAGACGGCCAACTCATCAGAAACACGAAGAGAGGCTCAGGCTGAAACCTAGGGTTATGGACAAGACAAAGAACAAGAATGATGGCTTCTCTTGGGTCTGCCCTGTCTCTAAAGCTGAAACTGGACACCATTTTGGGGTTGACATTCCACCACTAATTGGTGCCCCGGGGAGAAAGGAGCAAGGAGCCAATGGCTCTTTGGGGAAGGGGTGGGGGTAAGGGCTGGTATAGAAAGGTGGTGTTGGCTGGCTGGGAGTGGGGCAGGAAGAGGAAAGGAAGGTGAAAAATGGGATGCCCTACCTGACAGAGCAGAAGGGAAACAGAGGGAGAAAGGGCGCTGGGGGCTACAGGGCACTGGGGCTGTGTGGCCGGCGGCGGCGGGGGCAGGCTGCTTTCTGCTGCATGGAATCCGCAAGGCTGGCGGGCGAGCCCGAGACAGTGGGAAAGTGGGTAAGCCGAGGAGTGTGTGGCAAGATTTCAGCAGAAGATTCATAGCTGCAGGAAAGACAGACAGGAAGAAGGGAGGGAAAAGAGGAGGAATCACAGAATCTTAGAGTTGTAAAGGATCTTAGTGACCATTTAAGTCCAACCCCTTTGTTTTACAGATGGAGAAAGTGAGGCCCATGGAAAGGAAGGGACCTGCCCAAAGTCATACAGCAAGTCAGTGTCAGAGCTGGGACTAGAACTCTGGAGGAGGGCAAAGGAAGAGACAGGAGAGGAGAGAAGCAGGGAGAGAGACCAAGGGTAGTGATGGGAGTGGATTTGGAGAGAAAAGCAGAATAATTTTGCTCTTCTACTTGGCTCCCTCCACAGTCCAGAGATACAGCCTGCTTCCTCCTCCAGAGACAGCTAAGGCTGAGTAGGCATCAGAGACCAGTCTCAGTATGGACAGAGAGTCTGGAGGTGCTGCATGTTATTAACAGCCTGATATAGTACTTGGAGGCATGGGCTCTAAGAAGATTTTGAGGGGTGGGAGAGAGTTAAAAGGACACTGATCTGGTGGGACCTTACAGAATATTCAGTACAGCTTTTTTATTTTAAAATGAGGAAACTGAGGTTCAGGTAGTCTTAATTTCAAATCTGATGTTCTTCTACTACATTACTCTGGCCCCTGGGGGTTGGGGAAGAACGAAGCAGTATTTTTGTGTATGTATATGTGCATGTATGTGCACATGTGCACTCTGCGCTGGAAAATGGTCTTATGTCACCCCTAAGTGCTCTAAGGTCCTAGGAGGTGGGGGTGCCTTCTGACTTAAGCACTTGCTGTCCATGGTCTCCATTCTCCCTACTCCCGACTTCCTGCCCACCCCACCCTCCTCAAAATGATCTAAACAGCACCGGAAACTAGCCCAAGAATTGCAAAGGGCCTCAGAGATCACTCATTTTATAGAAAAAGAAGCCAAGGTGCTGAGAGGGGAAGTGATGATTATATGCTCAAAATCAGCTAATATTTATTTAGAGCCTTAAGGCTTTTATCTATCTGATTTGATCCTTACCACAACCTTAGGAGATAGGTGCTATTAGTGTCCCCACATTAGAGATGAAGAGACTGGGGCATGCACAGGTTAAGTGACTTGCCCTGAATCACACAAGCTAGTAAGTGTCTGAGGCCACATTTAACTCAGGTCTTCCTGACGCCAGGCCCACTGCTCTATCCACTGAGCCACCCGCTGCCTCCATTTCATAGGGCGTGGTCAGTGCAGAGCTAGGATTCCAAAGTAGGTTCTTTGAACTCAGGAGTCAGGGCTGACAGCATGTGGGTATACTAAAAACACTACTGATTTAATCATTTAGCCTCTTTTAGCCTCAGCTGACTTCTCTGTAAAATGAAGGGCCTGGACTAAAATTCCTAAGGTTCTTTCCAGCTCTAAATTAGTTTCTGACTTTGCAAAAACAGGAATTACTACTAATAATAATGTTTTATCTACGTAGAGGGTTTATAACCTTACAATACCATGTAAGTGTAAGTTACTGCTATTAATATACTCTATGAACCTATGGTCCAAACCCTGTGCACTTTCTACTACAGCCTGCTGCTGCCCTGACTGACCTTGTCTCCTATGAACTTGGGCTGTCTGTCCTCAGTGAGGCCCTGGCCTCCACAACTCCCAGCACCTGCCTGCCATCAGGAGGGGGTGGGGGCCTGGAATGGAACCAAAGCCGAGGAGGATGCCAGGGCCTGTCATGTAAGGGATAGGGTGTGGGAGGCCTGAGAAGAGGGAATCAATATGCCCCTGTTTCTCCCAGCCCCAGGGTCTGGCCCACTCCCCTTTCCCCTTCACCCCACCAGGAGACACGGGGCTGTGACCGTGAGCCCTGCTGGCTTCCGGGGAGGGAGGGAGGGTGCAGCGGGGGTGGGAATGAGTCACGGGTGTGTCAGCAGCACGGCTCAGGGCGCCCAGGTGCACAGGAAGGCCAGGACCGGGACGATTGGTGCCTGCAGCACTGGGTTCCCAGAGAAACATCAAAGGCTGAGCAGGTGGGGAAGGGACAGGGTGAAGGCCTGGCCAATAACCTGGAGGGATGCGGGTGGTGGTGCTGGGGGAGGGATGGGCCATATCTGACCCCCATGGGTAGCAGCTGCCCATGAGAGTTATTTTGAGGGTCCCTGGGGGGGGCAGAGCTGCCCACCTGCCTTCTCATTGCAAGGTTGAAGGATACGGGGTGGGGTGGGAAGGGAACAGCTCTCTGAGGCAGACGTTGAGGGAGTCACATCAGCAAGGAGGAGGACTACTGTGGCCCTCAACACAGGCTAGAGGAACAAGGGAAGGGCACAGGAGATTAACTTATGTATTGTCACAATTTTGGTTTGAGTCTAGATGTCAGGACATATAAAATCACAAAAAGTCAGGAACTGAGAGGACACAAGATATAGTCCTTGGAACATGGCATGTTGCAGCTAGAATGGGCCTGAGAGGTCATCGGGCCCAATGCTTTTGTTTTACTGAGAAGAACACCGGGGGGTTGAGAGGGAAGGTGTTCAGCTTAAGGTGACCAAGCTGGGGGAAGAAGGGGCTAAGAACCACAGTCTCCAAGGGTCTAGCCATGATGCCTAGCTTCAAGCACAGAAAAGACGTGACAGCCCCCTGATGCTCTGCCTCTAACTGCCATGACTTGAGTTATGCTTATGCCCTTTCTAAGAGAACATCCCACCCTCCAAATTACTCTACTCTTTGCCCTACAAAGCAAGAAACTGAGGAAGATGGGAATTTTCTTTTGGAAGTTTTTCCTAGAATTCTGTCTTCCTCCAATCCAGAGGCCAAGCCCACAGGGAGACATCTGTGGCCCTGAAAGATATGCAGAGCCTATGGGTGGGCGGGTGTGGCTCTGCCCCAGGACATGGTGTCTCTAGCCTGTGGTCCTGGGAACAGCACCAGCCTGGACAGTGTCCCTGGGGCTTTTCCAGGCATCCCACTCCCTGATGCAGGTGTGCAGCTGCCAGGTGCAGACCCCTTCCTGGTAGCCAGGGTTAGATGAAGTGGGAAAGGGCTCTGGATCTGCTCTTTAGCTATTTTGTTCAGTGGGGATCACCTATTCAGAGAATCCTAGAATAACACAGCATTAGATATGGGAGGGAGTACAGAACATGGGAACAGAGAACTGCAGCTCTGGAAGAGACCTTAAAATACAGAATATGACAAAGCTGAAAGGGACCTTAGAATACAAAATAAAGAATGTGACAGCTAGAACAGACCTTAGAGACCATCTAATTCAACCACATCATCTTATAAAGGAGAAAACAGGAGTCCAGAGAGGAACAGGACTTGTTAAAGGTCACACGCCAGTGCCCAGGTCTCCCAATGCCCAGCCCAGCGCTCTTTCTACTGTCTCCCAAAGCCTCCCTTTGGGAGTGGTCTGTCAACAGCCCCTGTCAAGGGCAGGGATCAGAGGGTCACAGATTTAGAGCCTGAAGGGGCCTCAGAAGCCATCTAGTTCAAGCCCCTCATTTTACAGGTGGGAAAACTAAGGCCAGAAGCCCAAGTTTTACACAGCTAGTATCGGAAGTGAGATCTGAATCCAGGTCTTTCTGTCTCTAAGTCTAGCACTCTCTTCCCTAGGCCATCCAGCTTCCTGGAGACCTGGGGCAGGGCTCTTCCAAGGTGTTTCAACACCTGAGACAAGCTGAACACTTCAGCTAGTCTTACACTCGTCTTGGTGGTGGAAGTAATTTCTATGTCAGTCTCAGATGGGCACAGGACCCAGAAAGCTCATGGATGTGAGACACAGTGTGCTGGACATTCTACCAAAAAAATCCCTATCTAGAGAAGAAGAAAGTGGCCCAAATCTTGTGGGATGCCCCTGCTTGGTCCTCAGAATTGCCCTGGGGGGTGGTGGTGGTATGATGTGCTCTAGTTCAGCTAACTGCCATCCCAACCGTTTGGGGGAAGGAAGGGCTGGATCCATAGCAAAGCTGTCACCAGAACATACAGACAGGTTCCCACATACTGGCGGAAAATGCCAGGGAGTGATGTTTCCCAGGAGACGTGTACAAACATTCCACTACGGTCCCCCCCCCCCCACCTCCCCGGCCCACAGCCTCTGTCAGGTACTGCCTCTACCCCTGGGGCCTATTGGCTGCACCTGTGAACACACCCCAGGCCTTTGTGCGCTGTGGGAATGGTAGCCTGGGCCCACCCCTTACCTGAACATCTCTGTGACCTCTCCCTTTGCCAGCGCCACCAGCAGGGGGAATCCAATGCAGGCAGGGACCAGATAGAGCAATGCCGGCTGTGGGGGTGGGGGAAAACACAGAGGTTCATCAGCTCCAGGAGGCTATGCTGGGAAATAGGGGGTTTTCCCTAGGAACTGCGGGAGAGCCTTGCATGAATGAGGGACCATGGGCTATGTTTGCTTCACAGAAGAGGTGGAAATCTAGCTTAACCTGGCTCTGATGCTAATTACTTGACCACGGGACAGTCATTTAATTTTCTCATCTGTTGAGTGGAAACAATACTGTATTACTTACCTTGAAGACTTCTTCGGAAAGTGCTATGAAAACTGTAAAGCATTATGAAGTGTGTGCATGGTGCGACTGTGTGTGTGTGTGTGTGTGTGTGACAGAGAGAGAGATAGAGAAAGAAGAGAAAGAGAAGAGGAGAAGGAGGGAGGAAGAGAGGAATGGGGGGCAGGGGGAAGGGAAAGACAGAGAGAAGGAGGGAATCAAGGAGGGAGAAAGAGAAAAAAAGTAACAGAGAAAAAGAACAAGAAAGAAATAGTGATAGAGAGAGAAGAGCAAAAGAGAGAGAAGGGAAAGTAAAAGAGAAAGGAGACAGCTCTTCTTTAAGGTTCCAATGCTCACAGTCCATGAGCCTTTCTTCCATACCTCCTTCTCCTCCTCCTATTTGCTCCCAAACTTCACATCTGAGTGGTCCTCATTGTTTGGCCTTGGCAGGAAATCTCAAAGCTAAAGAAAATGGCCTGAGACCTGCCCAAGGCCTTGCAGTAGACCCTTGGAGCTCACATTTCTTGGGGGAGATGGAGATACGGGCTCAGGGGAGTATGCTGGCATCATTCATTAGAGAGCAGGTGTCCAGTGGACCCCCTGTTGCCGTCTCCCCCTCCCCCCCTTTGGCAGAGCCAGGTTTTCCCTCATTTCCCCTTCAGGAACATAGCCAACAAATCTATGTCTTTTTCTATCAACAAGACCTGGGTTAAGTCAGTTCTCTCTGGGCCTCAGTTTCCTCATCTGTAGAATGACCATTGGTTAGGTGACCTTGAAAGTTTTTTCCAGCTCAGATAATCTATGCTCTATTTGCTCAGACCCTACACAGCTTCCTAGAGATACCCAGCTGGGCAGTAATAACAGGGGCTGATGGTGTGAAGTGATGAATCCTGCCTGCCCAGGGAAGATCATCCCTCCCTTTTCCCTCCAAGGGATGGCACTGCAAAATGTATCCAAAGTTGGAAAGGCAGAACGGGTGAGGAGAGTGGTTCATGTGCCAGTCCCAGAGGTGGGAGGCCTAGGTTCCAGTAATGGCTCTGACAGACTTATTATGGGACATAATGGGAGGGCATTTTCCTATTCTCTGAGCCACAGTTTCCTCATCTGCAAAATGAAAGAATTTATAGTCATGTATTCCAGGGCTAGAGGGACCCAAGAAAGAATGTGGTCCAATCCCCTTACTGGATAGTAAAACACTTGAGGCCCAGAGAAAGGAAATGACTTGACCAACATCTCAAAGATTTTTAAGCAGCAGAGCCACAATTTGAACTCAGGTCTTCTAACTCCAACTCCAGCACTCTTTCCGCCAATCCCCCATCCCCACCCCGAACAGACCCAGAGAAAATGTTTTATTCAAAAGGGGTATATGCCAGTCTACAGGATCATGGTTCTGTGACATCAGGGCTTACACGTGGTAGTGATGGCCAGAGTGGGAAGTGCCACCTACTGGTGGCTCCTGCTCTCACTGCTCATGTCTCTCTCAGGCTTAAAATTTGACACTAATGTTTCTTTAGAGCATTAGGTTTACAAAGAACTTTCTTCCTGACAATCCTTTGAGCTAACTGGTATAAGTATCCTTAGCCCCATTTTACATATACGAAAACTAAGATCCCAAGAAGTTAGGTGAGCCACTCAAGGTAGCTCAGGCAGGAAGGGCAGGAACTCTGCCCAGGACTTCACACTCCAAGCCCAGTACTCTTTCTGCTACATCCTGCTGTTTCTCTTACCAGGCCACCCCAACTTGGACTCAGGGCAGAAAGGGAGTAGAAAAGGCGAGCGCAGAGAAGAGACGGGTGGTGGTTGGAACTCAGCTCTTGGGCTGCTCTCATCAGGAGAGGTTTGGCCCTATCACTTACCTGGGCATGTTTGAAGACATGCATAATGAAGATAGTGAGGCCCAGGCCAAAGATGTATGCCACAAAGCTGGTGTAGAAGTAGGTATGTGTGTTCTTCTTCAGGCTGCAGCGGGCAAAGAGGGAGAGACAGGTGAGGACAGTGGGTAACTTCCTGATTCTACTCCCTCCAGTGGATCTTTGGTCCTCATCCTTTCCGGAGTCTTAGAGGCTGGGAAGGAGAGGACTGAAGCTCTTTGCTTTGGGATGCTCTCTCTCTGCCCCCAAGAAATCTCTAGCATCTGCCCCCTCTTCTCCACCTCAATGCAGGTCCTCCTTATCTAGTCCTTGGATCATCGTGACAACCTTCTGTCTCTCCCCCAACAACTCATCCTACTGATTATGCCTGAATCATTCTCCTACTGTCAGTCCAGCTCTGAAAATTCCTCTCCTCAAAAATCCTTCCTTAGTTCTTTAGTGCTTATTGGGTAAAGGCCTAACTCTTAAAAGCCTGGCATCCGATGCCCTCTACAATGTGGCCCCAAACTACCTTTCCAGCCTCATCTCCCACTATTCTCCTTCATGTTGATCTCCAACTAAACTAATGTTCATGCCAACCCCCGCCCTCCCCATACATTCCATGTTGTCCTACGCCTCTATCTTTACTCTTCTTCCCATTCCTGGACCATCCTTGTTCCAGCTCTGGCCACTGAAATCTCATTCTTTGAGGTCCAGCTAAGCTGCCCCCTCTTTGGTGAACTTTTCCTTTCCCCCTGCAGTTAGTGAATTTTGCCTCAAATCTTTCAGATCTCTGAACTGAATCTTTGTCATGCGTCTGCCACATTCAGCGGTCTATTAGTTTTTTGTGTACATGTCTTGTTTTCCCTCCTGTACTGTGAGTTCTATGCAGGCAGGGTCTTGTATCTCCAGGACCTAACACAGTGCTTTGTATGTACGAGGTGTGCAGGTAACGTCTGCTACATTGAACTGAGCTGAATTTAGCTCTATCCCATAAATGGCAAGTTGCTAATGGTCCAACATGAATGGAATTCTGAGTCTTATTTTGGCTGCTTCAAAATTCATTATTTTGAACAATCCAGTTAAAGAGCATGGGGCTTTATGATAGACCCCTATTAAATGTCTGCTGAACTGAACTGGTCACTAGGCTGTGGGGCTCTAGAAAGACAGAACCTCTGTTTTTATAAAAACTTGAGTTTCCTTACCATTCAGTACAGGGCTCTGCATAAAATGATTTAAAAATGGTCACTCACTGCTGAAGTATTGAGGTTACCACTAAGTCTCATGTCTCCTTTTATGACCCAACCTTTTTTCCTACCTCCCTGCCAACACTAAGATTTATTCAGTGCCCACAATGTAGCCTTGGCTAGTCAAGGCTGGGGAAAACACCTTTAAGATTCTTCTCCTGATTTTCTAAGTCTGGGCCTTTGGCCACCCAAATTAACCCTTGTCTTCCATCCTGAGGGCAAAGCAACTCTGGGCTGGGAGACAGGAGAATGTGGTTGCTGCCCTGGGTCAAACATTTCCCCTCACCCTGCCTCAGCCTCTACTCTGTCTAATGAAGAAGTTGGAATACAGAGTACCTCAGGTTCTTTTCAATTCTAAGATAATTATATTCCAGACCTTGGGACTAAGTCTGACTTGGTGCAGGGCTGCCTAATTCCCCATTGCCTAGTTTTGGCTCAAATAAAGCTTGGACACCCTCTTTCAGGAGTGTGATGAGAACATTCCGGGAGGAGGAAGGAGGTGGGACGCTGGAGGTAGTATGGAAGGTGGCTGGAGCTAGCTTTGGCTCAGGACACCTCAGTTCTCTTATTTGCCTGAGTTTCTGGGCTCACCTGATGTCAAAACGCAGAAGTAGAGCAATGAAGATACCTGAGGGGAGAAAGTGAGAGTCAGAGATTGGTGGTGGGGGCTACCTGGGAGGCAAGTACCACACAGCCCTCAAACCTATCCCTCAAGCTCTCTGAGCATCGTCTTCATCTGTAAAACAGAGGGGTTGGGCCACATGAGCTCTACAGTGCTATCCAATGAAAATACTCAAAAGACACCTTCCAGGTACATGCAGAGATGTTTCTATGGGGGTGGGAGTGAGTGAGAGCCCATGGACATGCAGAGACCAGAATTCTTGATACTTTGCATGTGGAGACAGCGCCACCTGGTGGCCAACATCAAGAAATGCTGGCTCTGAGAACTTGGCTTCTTGGTCAGGCTCTCTGGCTGACTCTCTTACTGGACTGTGGGCAAGCTGCTTCCCCATGCTGGTTTCTTTCTTTGTCAAATGGATAATAACCACCAGACTCCCTCTTTCACGAGGCTGTCATGAGGATCAAATGAGAATGGACTGGAAAGGGCTTTGAAACTGCAAAGTGCCCACAAAGAGGTGGCGTCTTCATTTTTTCACAGGACAAGGCTTACTACACTTGATTCTGTATTAGTTTCATTAAAACCTCCAACAGCCCATCTCTTCAGGGTAGACAGTCTGACCTCTTCCAGCCTGCCCAACAGCCATGAGCACAGCCACCCCTGCACTTGTGTGCAACCATACTGAGCAGTGCTCACACGACCAAAGGTCAAGCTCACAGACCTGCATGAAGTCACAATCAGGAACGTCTAGGTGTCCAGGGTGAGTTGCATACATGCCCCCTTTGGGTCAAACATACAAAATGCACGTGTATTCAGTCATAACCATTCAGGTATCCATGGCCGGGCATATGTGCCCATGGTGGGTTGCAAACACACTTAAGCAGTGGTCCCAGATTCCAGCCCAGTCCTTGGCATTTGGCACAGGAAAAGAAACAAAGGCCTGTTGATTCACTGAGAAGCTGAGTTACCTTTTCTGGACCTCCCAGTCTGGCTGGGTGGCACCCGTGTGATGCAGAGCAGACAGGCCTATAGAAAAAGAACTTTTTAAGGGCATTTTCCCTCCATGGCTGCTTGGAGGTTTCCTGCCCTGAAAACTGCTTACCCTAGAAATTGCATGGCTTGTCCTGTGGCATGAAATCTGGGTTGGAGTTCCAACTCCAACATTAATCAACTGGCCAAAGCATGTACTCTTTGGGCCTCAGTTTCCTCATGTGCCAAATGTAGATAACATTTACTTAGCCTCTTCCACAAAACATGTATGAAGATGAAGATAACAGTGGTAAAAGTGTTTTGTCAGGAACTATACTAGGAAAAAGGAGTCTAAGGAAGAAACTCGGGCTGGTGGATGGGGGGAGAGTGAAGTTGTTACTGTGTCCTCTCTCTCAGGACAGACTGTCCTCTGATTACTGACTGCTTTTCCCACTCGCTCCCAAACTTCAAGCATTACCTGGAATGACGATGTCTCCCAGCCCCAGCATGGCAAAGTTGTCAGCCTCCAGCCCCTTTTCCAACAGGTCTTGGGGGAAAACCACTGCAGGGAAAAAGGAGGAGGGGGAAGGGCCTTAGCTATTAGTTAGGTAAATCTCCTAGGAAAGAGCAGGGTAGAATACACTGATGATGGAGTTCCCATGTTTGATAAGCTCAAATAACAACTTTGAGAAATAGGGAGAGCCCTCAATTAATGGATTCACACATTAGGTCTCTTACAAAGCACTTTCCTACTTTGGGCCCTCCATTTTCTCCCTTTCTTTTCAAGGCAGTATGATGCCATGGAAAGAACACTGGAACTGAAGTCAGAGGTCCATGACTTGCAGTAGATAGGTATCAATCTGGGTAAGAACACTGGATCTGAAGTTAGGAGGGCCCAAGTTCAAATCTAGCCATATATTTTTACTAGCTGTGTGACTCCAGGGAAACCATTTAATCCTTTTTGTCTCAGTTTCCTCATCTGTAAAATGGGGATAACAACATCTCATAGGCTGCAGTGAGGATCAAAAGAAATAGCATATATACAGGGCTTTGTAAATCTTAAAGCTCTCTATGAATGCTAGCTATCATCATCATCATCATCATCATCATTAATTTTTCAGTCTCAGTTTACTTATCTCTTAAAAAAGGTTATTGAACTGGATGAACTCTGAGGTCTTTGCTACTCAAATGAGGATAACCATAGCTGCATATCTTATTTCACAGGACCACTATTAGAAAAATGCTTGGTAAAATGCTATGTAAGTATGAATTATTTTTTGTTTTGGCTAGGCAATGGGGTTAAGTGACTTGCCCAGGGTCACACAGCTAGTAAGTGTTATGTGTCTGAGGCCGGATTTGAACTCAGGTCCTTCTGAATCCAGGGCCAGTGCTCTATCCACTGTGCCACCTAGCTGCCCCTGAATTGTTAATATTTTTAGTAGTAGTTATTATGGAGGAGGTGGGCTAGATGATCTCTAAGTTCCTTCCACCCCTAAAAGCTAAGATTCTGTAAATTCAGTTTTGCTACAGGTGATACTGGATAGTTATACTCAGACATGCCCAAGCAAAGGGCAATGGGCCCAATTTCAAAGGAAGAAAGGACACCGGGACCTTGAAATACTGGACCCCACACCTGGCAATTAAGGGCCTGTGCCTGGGACAGCCCTCGGAGCAGAAGCTCTGAGGTTGAGTAGGGTGGGCTTTCCCACTGCCTATGCCCACTCCCAACCATGGCCTCTAATATACTGTTGTCTGCATCCTTCCTCCCCTAATAACATTATCTTTGTCTCCTCTGCACCTGGGCTTAAAAAAAAAAATCAACTGTGCATGCACAGGATGGGTGAGATCCCACTTCCCTCAATTAGGCTTTTTTTTTTTAATTTAAAATTTTTTTGTGTGTGCGTGAGGCAATTGGGGTTAAATGACTTGCCCAGAGTCACGCAGCTAGTAAGTATTATGTGTTTGAAGCCAGACTTGAACTCAGGTTCTCCCGACTCCAGGGCCAGTACTCTATCTACTGTGCCGCCTACCTGCTCCTCAACTAGGCTTCAACTTCCTCATCAACAAAAATGGGGATAACCTTTACCCTGTCTTCCTTACAAAGATGGATCAAATGAGAGAATGGATAGAAAAGTTCTTTGGAAAATATAAGAAGCTGTTGCCCAGTGAGATGTTATTAGTAGCAGAGCTGGGCTGAGGCTCTCAGTGGGCAAGAGCTTAGCCCTGAGAATGCTGCTGGTCACTAAAGAGAACAGGGCCCAGGGGATATTGGGCTCGGGTTTACTCACATTTTATGGGTGCCTCAAAAGACTTGGCCACAGTTACCATCACATTGGTGCCAAAAACCTAGGAGTAAGAGAGACCCACAAGGTAGTGAGGCGTGGAGGAAGGTTCCTACAAACCCTGTTCAACCAACGGACTTTTGCATCATCAGGAAGGAGCTGGGGCTTTCCAGAACCTCCTCTCCATCCTCTGCCCCACCAGACCTTGGTCAGAGCACTTAAGAACTAGCATTGTTACACTGACCTTAAGAAACTATAGTGGTGGAACAGAGACCTTTGAATCATGGCTCTGATAATGATTAGCTGTGAACCTGGGAAGGTCACACTTCCCCTCTCTGATCCTCAGTTTCTCCCTCTGTAAATTAGGTTAGGCTAGATGAGATCACAGATCTAGAACAGGAAGGGACCTCAGAGGTCACCTAGAATAACCCCCTCATTTTATGTATGCAGATGATGTCCAAGGTCCTTCCCAGTTTGAACATTCTTTGACATCTTTTTCTGTGAAACAAGAACCAAGCTTTCTAAGAATAGGAGCAGCTGAGGGGACTTCAGCCTGGCTCCGAAGCTCATCCATCCCAGGAAGCCCCAGCATGGGGCAGCTCACCCAGAAGATGTCATAGACAAAGAGGCCTCCAAGCAGGATGCAGCCTGTGCTGACGTTATTGAGGTGCAGGAGCTCCACTCCATTGAGGGAGAAGGCCAGGCCGAAGAGGTTGTTGGCAATCCAGTGCTGTTGGAGAATAATGGACCCCCACCCAGCCCAGGAGGTGAAGCATACTCCTCACGGAGCTGGTGTCTTCCCTCTTACCTCCTCCCATCCATCAGAAAAAGGGGGTGCTGCCACAGTCCAAGACCATGCCCCCACCCCCTCACCTTCCTTAGCAGGTACCAGACGCCGATGATACTGCTCAAGGTCAGGCACACGAGATCCTTGCTGTCAAATTCATAATTGACAATTTCTGCAGTAAGGGGAGGCGGGGGGCGGGGAGGAGGAAGGGAAGGGAGGAGAAAGACTGTTATGCCCAGGCCCTTCCATTGAATGAGTCTGTGTTCCTGATCTTCTGGCATTTGTGGGGAACAAGAGGCATGTGATAAGGGCTACAGGGCCTGAATTTTACTAAGGAAGAAGAAATGCTTGCTGAGAAATTGACTCCTTTTATGATTAATCATCCTTATTAAGTATGGGGTAAAACCCTTTTCTCCTGAGATATAACCAATAAGACCACGCAAACTCTTGGCAGCTATAAGGTGAAGGCAGAAGAAAAGAGTAGGAGGAAGAACAATTCAATTTCATTCAACCAAAATTTATTAAGCATTTACAGGGCATTTAAAGCCCTGTGCCAGACACCAGAGAAGATTTAAGTTTTAGTTAAGATATGAGCTTTGTTGCTGTCATGGAACTTAGAGTCTTATATGGGAATAAAACATAGATATAGATATAACACACAGTATTCCATAATGAGTGTACCAGAGAAGTGAAAACCAAGCACCACTGAGGCCATGGTGGGTCAGGCATTGCCCAGAGGAAGGAACCAAGGAAGGCGACCTTCCTAGGATCAATCTAGCCATCCATCAATAAATCAATAAGCATCTGTCCCTTCCATATGCCAAGCTGAAAGTACAAAGACAAGTGGAACAGTCTGCTCTTTGAGAGCAGGGACTCCGACCTTTATTATTCTAATAAACAGGAATGAAACAGGTCTGGAAGGGAGGTCACTAGGAGAAGAGAGGAAAAGAGAGAGAGAAGAGAGAGAGAGAGAGAGAGAGAGAGAGAGAGAGAGAGAGAGAGAGAGAGTGTGTGTGTGTGTGTGTGTGTGTGTGTGTATGTGTTATGAACACAGTGCTTCGGCACACAGTTCAGGCTTAGTAAATGTCTGCTCTTCTAGGGGAAAAGACCTCCTTAGAGGCTGGGCAAGCAAGAGGTTACCAGGGCAAAGTCTGACTTCAGGTCAGAGCCTAAGCTGGAAGGACCACTGTCCAGGTTAGAAAAGGAAGAGGCAGCAGGTGGAGTGCTTCAAACACAGTGGCCTAAAGCCTGAGGAGAGCCTCAGAGATAAAAATTACTGAAGAAGGGAAAAAGAAATAAAAAGGCAATCATTCCCTTCATAGGCCTACAAGGATATTGCCTTAAGGACTTACCTTCCTTACTCTCCCCTGAGCCTTGTGTGAAGAGTAGCTGATACTGCTTGTTGGGGAAATTTGCTGGGAAGAACTTGTTCATGATGGGGCTAGAAGAGAAGAGAAATCAGAACCCACATCAAAACAGGCAGGACCAGAGTGCATCGGCCTGGGAGATGGGATGCCCTGAGGCTCCTCCTAGCTTGGTGAATCCCTGGCTGAGGACTAGGGCCCACAGAAAGAAGAACAGACTTGGAGTTACAGGTTCACAGCATTTAAAGGTAGGAAGACCATTAGAGAGAACTTAGTCAACCTCTCATTTTACCGACAAGGAAACTGAGGCTCAGAAGTGTGATGTGATTTGCCCAACGTCACATGGACAGTGAATACAACACGCTGCCTGGATAATGTGGGGGAAGTTTCATTGGTCACATCCATTTTGATCTCCTCTATGCCCTGACACTTAGGGTTAAGTGCTGGAATTTAGAACCTTCCTCTGAAGCAGCAGAAAAATGCCAGGCCAAGAGTCAAGGGGCTTACAGCTGGGTCCTAGACCTGCCATGTATTAGTCATGTGACCTTGGCCTAAAGTTACCCCCCTTCTCTGGACCTGAGTTTCTTCACCTGTAAAATGAGGATTACCTGTCCTGCTCACCTGCTATGAGACCCATGACAAATCAATTTGCAAACTTCACAGTGCTACTGAAATGTGAGCATTTCCCTGTCCCCTGTCTCAATGTACCTATTTGTAAAATGGGATCAGCACAGGACTACAGCTTACTGAGTTCCTCAGACATGAGGAGAACACTACTGATTCCTGCTTAAAAGATGGGAACCAAGGAAACACAAGTGCTTTGGGATTCACTGCCTGGAGAGTTGATTTTCATAGAACTAGCAACATATTTCCACAATCTTTCAAAGTGTTTTTCTCACAGCAGTATTGTGAGGCATTATTGTACTAATTATATAGAAGAAGAAACTGAAGGTCAGAGAGGTGTCTGGGCTTTCTAGGAAATGACAGAGTCAATGTAGTGAAATCTAAACCCCAGGTCTCTTGACTCCACACACAGGGCTCTTTCCACACATTGGCACATTTGCGAGATTCTGAATCAAAAGACAGATTAGTTTCTATTTAGCAGATTACTTTATCAACTTCTAATCCTCTGAAATCTGGTAATCCACACATGATGCTTACGGCAAATGAATTCCCCTCTGGGCCTGAGCTCTTTTTTCAGTAACACGGAGGCCCTTTTTCTTTTGTTGTAGCCCGAGGATTGTCCGTTTTCCCCAAGATCCTCAAATACTCCCTCATCTGGGGCTGGGGTTGCATTTATCTGCTCCTGCAGGGGCTATGGCCCAGGTATACTCATCTTTCCTTCAACTGCGATCTAAACAGTTTTTGCCCCAAACTCTTATCCCTTGCTCCCTCCTGAGTTATATCTTACATTTTCTTTTGGTAAGCTGAAAAGGTCTACTGCTTTGAGTATCTTGACCAGTTTTCCTGTTCTGTGAAAACCCCTGAGTCCTATAAAGCTCTGTAATGGTCTAGAAAAACGTGGTGCTGGAAGTGAGTTCTGTTTTGCAGATGGGCAGGTGTTTCTTCTGTCATCTCAGGCAGGGACTCAGGAAGTGTGGGGCGGCTACTTCTTGACAGCCCAACTCCCCTGTTCTAGCACTCTGATGATGAAGATTGAAACTCTCTCCCACAGCCAGAGCTGGTGATGACACTGGAGTGAGACACAGAGATTATGCCATCCCTGGACATGCTGGATCTCCCACAGCTTTGGCTCTAGTGTGGGTCTCTCTCCTTTTTCTTGGCAACTGTGCTGAAGTCTTTATGTTTGGCGGGAAAGGAAGTCCTAGTGCTGGGTGTTACGATTTCCTTTAATGCCTAGCAGCTCTTCTTTTTCATTCCTGATAAATCTAGCCTCCCGTTGTGAGGGGGCTGGAAGCAATACAGGGGCCTGGCTGGCCTATCTGAGCTCTTACTCTTATTCTCCTCTGTTCATTTTCACAAAGGTGCTTTGCTTTTGGAGGAATGGTTTGGAAGCCCTTCTGCCAGGCTGTGCAGTTATGCATAGCTTCACATAAGCTCACATGTATGGATCTGCAACTCACCCCCTCTTTGAAGCTCTTCTGGGCAGGGAAGGGAGGATGGTACATAACTGGACTAACGAGAGAAGGCAGTTTCTCTCTCCCTGAAGGTGTTCGCGCAGATGTGAATATGGAAAGAGTGGCGGCTCCTTTTGTATGTGGTTTGGATTAGATGGGGGCTGACATGTTTCCCGCAAGAAGAATCTCAATGCTTATCTGTCAGCCAGGAGCCCAGAGGCAGAGAGAATGCTTCAAGGATGGTGGTTGTCACGCTTTAGCTGACCCCTGCTCAGGCCAGTTCACTTAAGAAGGCCTAACTTGGGAAGTGGGAAGGGTGGGTTGTAACTACAACATAAACCTGATGTGGGTGTGACTTAAAATGTTTTCAAACTGGGAAGAAGAGGCTTTGCTTTGAAAAAGTGGTTATACTCTGCTGTGAGGTTTGTGTGTGTGTGTGTGCATGGGAGTATCTTTTTGAAATGTGCTGCCAAGAAGAGAGCCAGAGAAGAGTGAAAAAATAATTTTAAGGGAACCCAGAACAGAAATCAGGGTTAAGCTGGATCACTCGGAAGCCCTGACCATACACATTACACAAAGAGTGGGAACAATCAGGATGACCAAAACTTTGAGTGTTTTGGCTGTTTTACGTCTGATGTCTGATGCTGGACAAATGTACAGTTAAGTGCTTAATAAACTTTGGTCAGTGTCACAGAAATCACAGAACCAGAGAGCTGGAAGGGACCTCACTGGCCATCTTGTCTAACCTATAAGCTAAAGCAGCCCCGACTAAGAAATATTCCATAAGTGGTCCTCTAGCCTTGGCCTGATGACCTCCAAGGAGGGGAACCTAATACATTTAGGGCAGTGACTCTCAAACTTTCTGGTCTCAGAACCCTTTTATACTCTTAAAAATTACTGAAGGCCCCCAGAAAGCTTTTGGATTTGTGGCTTAAAGCTATCATTACCTACACTATTAGAAATTTAACTCTTAGTAGTATGAAAAGTTTTGACCTCACAATCCCCATCCTGGCCTCCAAAGGGGATCTCAGAAAGCCTGGAGTCAGGGAATCCCCAGAGCCCGGGCTTTATGAGCAACCCAGACCGTATTTTGAGAATCGCTGCTCTGGAGGCAAGCCATTTTACCTCTGGACAGCTCTAATCACTAGAAAGTGTTTTCTGACATTGAGTGTAAAGTTGCCTCTTTGCCACTTCCTCCTAGTGCTCCTGGTTCTGGCCTCTGAGGCCAAACAGAACAACCCGACAGACCTTCAAGTGCTTAAGCACAGCCATCGTGTCCCCTCTGCATCTTTTTTTCAGGCTTAAACATACCCACTTCCTTCATGATCCTCATGACAAGGACTCAGGACTCGGGGCTCTTTGCCATCCTGGCTGCCTTCCTCTTTTAACCTGCCGGCTTATTTATCAATGTGCTTCTTAAAGCCTGGCAGCCAGAACTGAACTTGATACTCCAGATGAGGTCTGATGAGGCTTGAGGTCAGTGGGTCTGGTGCTCTCTATTTTTGGACAATTTATCCTCTTGCTGAAGCCCAACATTGCATTAGCTTTCTTAGCTGACATGTCACACTGCTGCTTCATATTGAGCTTGCAAGCCATTAAAACCCCCCAATTCTTTTCAGGACAGCTCCTTTCTTTCCAGGACTCCTACATCTTATTCTGGGGCCAGGAGCCCCTCATTTATCTCTATCCTTATTAGACTCAGTCCAGTGCTCTGGCCTCTCAAGGATTCTCGGGATCCTGCCTGTCATTCCATCTGTCAGCTCTCCTTTCCTGTTTGGGGTTCTGAAGAGGGTCAGCTTTGAATGCAGTTAGGTAGGTGCTCAGGCACTGCCTGCCCTAAGGACCAGCTGTAGACTGGGCCTGATGACTCTGTAGCTTGGGAGAACCTTTGAGAACTCCAATGGAGCTTAAGCTCCAACTGCTGAGTACCCAGGGTAACCTGCATGCCAGGCAGGTAAAGCAGAGCAAGAGTGCTATGCAGGAGACTGACATCAAAACACACACACACACACACACACACACACACACACACACACACACACACACACACTTCACACTGTGGAGTGGCTATTAGGCTGGAGATTTAAGAAACAAACTCAAGTTCAAATCCTCACGAGTTGACAGTTTAAGAATTCTTCATTTAACCTGAGCAACCCTGGTGAACTAAAGCAATGACAATAAAGTATTGTCAATGGAAAGTAAGAAAGGGGGGGAATCTTTAGGTATCTTACAGTCTAGAACTCATGGAATATTTTTTCTCCCCCCGAGGATCCTTTTCTGCTCCTACAAGCATTTTCCTTTAAGGCACATGACCATCAATTTGTTAGGTATTAAACTAGCTAAAACAGACTAAATAATGCAGCTGGTGGCTCAGTGGATAGAGCACTGGGCCTGGAGTCACAAAGACCTGAGTTCAAATCCAGCTTCAGATACTTCCTAGCTGTGTGACCTTGGGCAAGTCATTTAACCCCATTTGCCTCAGTTCTTCACCTGTAAAATGATCTGGAGAAGGAAATGGCAAACCACTCCAGTACTTTTGCCAAGAAAACCCCAAATGGGCTCAGGAAGGGTTGGACACAAATGAACAACAAATCAAATGGAGCTAAAAACTGGACTGGACTGTCTAGGACACTTAATCACCTCAGAGTTCAGTTCCAATAGTGCCTTTGGGCAACAGTAACTAAAACCATGTTTTTCTTACTGTATCAACACATTTTTCCTTTCTCTAGCCGAGATACTGTTCAGAGAATGGCTTACCTACTGCTATCAAGTGGCAGAACTGATGTTAAGTGGCTACATGGCATCTCAGCACACAGTATGCTTGTGATCCTAGTTCCATATACCGGGTTCCACAAACTTCATAGCACATCTATCCCTACATACACAAATAGGGGCTTAACGAAACAGAGGACCAAACTGGTGGCAGGGATTGCTGACGTGGGGAAATGCAACACTCCAATAGGGGAACTCTATCAGGAGGCTGCTAATTATTGCTCATGGAAGCCAAAGTGATAGTTTCGAATATCACCTCTGATTACTGAATGAATCCCAGGGGTTGAAATGGGAACAGTGAGGTTTGGAGAGGAATGGCCTCATAAAGGTGATGGCAGGACCCTTCTGAAAAGGCTCCTTCCCTCCCTTGAAAAGAATAGCTCTCCAACTTGGCCAATCATAAGTCTATGATACCCCTTGGAGAGTGGGAAGATAATAGTTCATGGACAGGCAATTTTGGACTCAGTCTTTACTAGGGATCAACACTAGGGATCAACCTTTAGCAAAGAGGCAAATGTAATACACAGTCCCAAGTCAAAGGGTGGTAAAAGGTCCCTTAGAGAAACATGCTGATAACAAAGGATGAGGCCCTGGTATGTGGCAGAGTTAGGGAGTCTGCTTCTAGGGCAGGGGTGGGGAACCCTTGGCCTCAAGGTCACATGTGGTCCTCCAGGTTCTCAAGTGCAATACTTTGACTGAATCCAAACTTCACAGAACAAATCCCCTTAATAACAGGATTTGGTCTGTAAAACTTGGATTCAGTCAAAAGGCTGCACCCAAGGGCCTCAAGGCCACAGGTTCCCCACCTCTGCTCTCGGAGCTTGTTATATAGTTAAATCAGAGCTAATACAAGCCTTTAGGTTGTATCTTTCCAACAGTGTTGGGTTGGGGTGGGTGTACTAGAGAACCTTTCCCCCTAAACATGACTGGGTTTGCTAACACTTCAAATTTTTTTCCACCTCTTTCCTATGCCTTAGGAATCAGTTAAGAAAAGAAGGTCATAAACCTTGAATCCAATACCCCAGGACTCACTGCTTGAATGGTGGGGATTCACTTCGAGCCTTTTACATTGGTGATTCTCAAAGAGTATGGCCAGGCTGTACCATCAGTTTCCACCACGCCTTCCAGAAACTGTAGGGAACTTACACTTGAAATCACGTGTCAGCTGGGCTCTACAGAGGGTCTCATATCATGCCACAATTCCCCATGGCAAAGAATAAATACTGTGCTAGGAGCAAAAGATGCTTAAGAATCGCTACTCTCTGGCAAGTCCAGGTGGCCAGGAAGGTCTCGGGGTGCAACTGTGCATAGCTGTGCAGTTAAGTCAGTAAGGGGTGGCAGTCGGAAAAACCTGTCTATTTTAAGCTGAGCCTTTCTTACTATAGGTTGTGTCTGCTCTAAGCTCCTACCTGGCATTCTCTTTCTGTTTCTGGAATCTTCTACTACTCCTGGAACTTTACATGCCAAAAACTTCCACGCACTATACAAGCTCACTAAGTGGCTTCCCTGACTGTGATATCAGAGATAGGAAACTAATCAGATACATGTGAGAGACTCTATCCCTCCCTATCTATTGTCCTGTGGTGAGACAGGATTCATTCTGCACTGAACAAAGACAGAAGAGAACCTAGGTTCTGGGTACCAGATCTAATGGGCTTTATCATGTGGGATCATCAGTTTCTTCCCTTCTCTTGCTATAAGCTGAAGAACACCTTACCCAACACCTAGCAAAGTCCCTTAGCCAACTGTGGCATGGATGTTTTGTCCCCATGTCTGGGTCCTGTTCTCCCACTAGTGGCTGTCACCTGGTATAATCTGTCAATAGTGAAAGTGATCTAGGGCAGCTAGGTGGCGCAAGTGGACAGAGCACTGGCCGGGAGTCAGGAGAACCTGAGTTCAAATCCAACCTCAGACATCTGACACTTAACCAGCTGTGTGACCCTGGGCAAGTCACTTAACCCCACTGCCTACCAAAAATAGAAAAAAAAAAAGGGGGAGCCTGAGATAAAAGGGGCAGCTAGGTGGCTGGTGGTGGAGCACCAGCCCTGAAGTCAGGAGGACCTGAGTTCAAATCCGGCCTCAGACCAAACTTAACACTTACTAGCTATGTGACCCTGGGCAAATCACTTAACCCCAATTGCCTAAAAAGAATTAAAAAAAAAAAAAGAAGAAAGTGATCTGGATGGATCCTTTGTGTTGGACCTCTCTTCCCTTGCATAGCTTTGGATATCTCAAGTTAAGCCTTGTCCTTCCTTTTCATGAGTTAAAATGAACTTGCAATAAAAGTCTACTGCTTTTAGCATCACTGAATGTGAAAACTTCTGAGTCCCTAAAAGCAGCTGCAGTGGACTGGGAAATACCTCAAAAAAGATCTCTTGGAAGACTCCACAATTTTTCCAAGTGGGACACTGGCTGCTGCTTGTGACAGATCTGAATTCTTGTTTGGGAAGTGCCATATTTGATTTTTCACTACTATTACTAGCAATAGCAGCAGCACCTCACATTCTACAGCACATGAAAGTTCACCACGTGTTTTCTTCATTACAACTCTATGAGGCAGAGCTGCAATACCACGTACTGGAGACAAGAGTGAATAGATTCTGAGCTGAAATGGGTACCTCATGGTATGCTAAGGGCAGTGTCCATCCTGACACTTGGCTCAGGGCTTTGATACACCATACAATTCGATACACCTTGGCAACAGCAGGGGAGACAGGGCCAACCTTGGAGTTGGTAAACTCTAGCCTTTAAACCTTACTTTTAACACCCCTGGTTGGGTGACTTTACCTCTCAGTGCTTCACGTGACTCTCCAGGACGTGGAGTCAGAGGTGAATCAAATATCTGCATTACTGGTGGAGGAAGTTTCTCTAAACTGGCAGAACTGTGGGTCAAATTCCCCCCAAATAATAAGAGTACTTAATGTTCTTATGGTACTTTACGCTTTCTGTCCCATCATGTCACTCAGGCCTGACAATATAAATGGGAGGGCAGGGGAGAGATTTTATACTTGTATACATATATATATATATATATATATATATATACACACCCACCCACCCATACATATACACACATATATACATGTTTTTTATATGTATATATAAAACACACACACACACACACGTTTTACAGATTAGAAAACTGAGGTCCAGAGAGAGGAACTGATGGCAGTGCAAAGTCTTCCAGAGAACTTTGGGCAGCTGGGTCTCTGACTGCTTTCTAGGTCTTTCCCCAGTGCCCCAGCTAGTAGAGGGGCAAAGCCGGAATTCAAACCCAGATCACAGGTTATCATAGGATTGATAACTGGCAGGGTACTTACAAGTCCTCAAATTTAACTGTGTTTTTTTTTTAAATAGAAGAAGAATCTGAGGCTCAGAAAGAAACCCCTGTCCAGCATCACAAGAGAACTAAGGAAGAGACCTAGATTCAGACCCAGGCCCACTGGACTCCAAAACCCAGTGTTCTTTCCACTATGGGAATTCCAGGGCTACCCTTCCTCCCCGAGGCACACTGAGGGTCAAAAGAGGAAGCAGGACACATGAGCCTAAATGTTTTAAAATGAAGGTCTGGTGCTTTTCTCACAAGGAAGGAAGCACTAGGAGGAAAGCCCTGATGAGTGAGAAGGGTCCAGATACAACATGACTTGCAGAAACTGAAAGCACGATAAGATCTTCAGGCTGCCCAGCTTCCTGAGATGTAATAGAGATGAGGTCTTGGTCAAATGAGTGCAACCTGTCACACACTCTTGCAATAACGAGTCAGCTGGGCTCTACAGAGGGTCTCATATCATGCCACAATTCCCCATGGCAAAGAATAAATACTGTGCTTTCTTGAGATCAGGTAGAAAGGTTGTCGCTACCCCAGAGCACCCTGAGAAGAGTGTTACGAGGGAACAGGGCATGGTGTAAAAAGAACTGGGCCAGCAATCAGGAGGTATGGATTTTGATCCTGGCTCTACTTTTCACTCTTGGTATAATCTTAGGCAGGCCTCAATTTCTTTTTCTGTAAAGCATAGGGGTTAGATCAGAGCAACTGTTCTCAAACTTTTTGGCCTCAGGACCCCCTTGCACTCTTAAAAATTACTGAGGAACCTTGAAAGAGCTTCTGTTTATATGGGTTATATCTATCAATATTTACTGTATTAAAAATGTTTTTTTTTATAATTAACAAAAACCTATTTGACTAAACGAATTCTAAGATTCTTTCCCTCATGGTCTCTCCTCTCATGGAACTTACAGTCAGAGTCCCTGCTCAACTGAATGAGTATACAACAGAATCATTCTTCTTCAGAGTCTGTCTCTTAGACTCTAGCCCACTGACTTTGGTGTCTGGTATATGGGAGAAGAATAAACCTACCACTCCCTAGCTTGGATCCTGAGGGCACCCCACCAATCCCTCAACCTATGTGTTAGAGGCTCTTTCTCCTAGCCCAGATTGATTTTTCTTTACAGAGAGAGTGACCACAGGGTTTCAAAGACTCTAAAAAGTGAAAATGTCTCAGAATAATTATGAAAATAGTTTTGACCTCATAGATCCCCTGAAAGGTTTTCAAGTTCCATAGGAGCCCCCTGAGTGCATCTAGAGAATGACTGGACTAGATGCTCTCTAAGGCCCCTAGCTCTGACATGCTACATTCTATTATTTGGTGATAGACCTTGTCTTTGCCCTCTGCTGAGGCCTCTACCATCTCTAGAAGAAAGCCCAGGGCTCTGCACAGAGTAGGTGCTCAATAAATATTTGCTCATGACAGGCAGCATGTGGAGTGCTAGACTTCAGACCAGGAGAGACCTTGGCTTGAATCCCAGCTCTTAACACTTACCAGATGTGTGCTTTGCACAAGTCGCTCTACATTTCTGAGCCTCAGTTTCCTCATCTGTAAAGTGGGGGTGCTTTTACTACCTCCCATACAGGGCTTTTGTGAGAAAAGTGCTTTGTGAATTTTAAATGGCAATACAAATATGAGCTGCTGCCACGATTGTGGCAGTTGTGAAATCCCTCATCCTCCCCTGGGAGAAAACTGCTACCCGTCTGTGGAAGAGGATTGGTCCCCATTACCTGATGGTGTGAGAGAGAGCCAAGATCCCCAGCACGAAGAAATACATGGAGAGCAAGAGGTTGATGTACTCTTGAGAGAAGATCTGAGGTAGAAACAGAAGCAAATATACACACACAGGTGGTTGAAAGCATGTTTCCCTGTGGCTACCACTAAAGCTAAGACTTGCTTCCCACTCTTACTAACCATTTTTCATTTCAGGCCTGGCATAACTGCTCTGTGGCAGGAGAAACAGGAATGGGGCCAAGGGCTCTAGGCAATCTCAGGTGTCCCCCGGCTCCCTGTGGTTTCTGTGGCTGGGGAAAGAGGGAGACCAAAAATATGGCTCTCCAAAGCCCCAACCCAGGGTCATCAGTAGGATACATCCTAGCTTTATTCAGATCAGGAAGGAAGGCTTTGCTGCTAAAGATCTCTACTTCTATCTTTATTCAATACCCATTAAAAAGATCCTTCATTGCTGCTTTTTCTTTTTAAACATCACTGTCACTTCCAGTGACTCTTCCCTCATCCAATCAAACCCTCCCTGTAAAAAGGAAGTATAATTAAGTAAAACAAAGCAACGTCTTGGCCATGTCTGCCAATATTTGCCTTATTCTGCACCTCTAGTCCACCAACCCTCTGTAGAGCAGTTGGTCACTGCACTGATCAGAGTTGTTACATATGTCAATGTTATTTTTCTTTATGTTACTGTAGTCATTGTCAATACACACTTATTAAACATCTACTACTGTATTGTAAAGCAATGAGCTTGAAGGGGTAGGAGGTACTAAAAGATAAAACTGACCCAGTATCGCTTTCGTGGAGGTTACAGTTTAACAGACAGATAGGGCATGTGCCCAAACAGACAATAATTAAAACCAGATTATACCGGGGTCCTGGGGTATTATGCTCTCTCCAGTCTAACTTCAACTCCTCTTTTGGCCTTTATCTTTTACTTTCCCCCTTTACTTTCATACGCTATGTTCCAGCCAAACTGGACAATTTGCTCTCCTCTGTTCCTGTCCTGTTCCCTCTTGTTTCCGTCCTCTTGCTCATTACTGTACTCCATGCCTACAATGCTCTTTCTCTCACTCCCTCCTGCCCCTACCCCCACAGCCCTATCTCTATTTGCTGAAGCTCTCACTTCCTTCAAGACCCAACAGCCCAACACAGGTGCTACTTCCTTCATTAAGTCTTTCCTAATAGCCCATCCCTCCCCAGTAGCAGTATTTCCTCTTCAAACTTCTCAGAACAGTTTGCCTTGGCTTCTCTGTTCTCATTTAACCTTTTCACTGTATCACAGTTATATGTGTTTTGGGTTTCCCCTATTCCTCTGGGAGACTATACCCTCAGTGACAGGTGAGATATAAATGGGTGGAACCAATGAGGCGTGCTGAAGACCTTCAGGAACTGCAATTCAACAAGCATGACCTTACAGTTTAACTTCCCATTCATAACTGACTCATCATTCTCCCCCTTGGAGAAAGCCCACATTGGCAACCCTCAAGGGAAAAAAGGAGGTTTCCAGTATATAATAACTCCCAAACCTTTCTCCGCAATACTAGCTTTCCCCATCTCCCAGGGGTGTCTGGAGGATGAGATAATAGCTCCTCATTCTATGATGCTTTCAGGTTTAACAAATGCTTTACCTTATGAGGTAGGTAGGGTAAATACTATTCCCTCTATTTTATAGGTGGGGAAACTGCATTCTAGAGAGAGAGAGAGAGAGTGTGTGAGTGAGTGAACTGCTCAGAGAAACACTGCTAGTGTCAGAGCACGGACTGTGACCCAGGTCTCCTGACTCCAAGATCGTCGGTCTTTCCCCTGCCTTGTGCTGTCTCTCAATATAACATAATGGCTGTCTTATGACTAGTCACTGTCTCGCCAGGAACCTGACAGACTCCCAAGGGTCTCCTTTTAATTATGCAAAGGAGGAAGCTTGGCATACGAAGAAGAGTTCCAAAGTTAGGAGTCAGTAGGTCTAGGATCTTTCAAGCCTTGGCTTTGCCATTTCCTAGCTATAAAATCTTGTGTGATCACTTTGCCTGCTCTGTAAAACTGGAGATGAAAATCTTAGCATACCCTCTATTCCTTTCAGGGCTGACAAAAACAAAGTATTTTGTATTAACATTAACTATATTACTAGCATCACTCATTGTAGCCTGCTGTCTAGAATGAAAGCCAGGTTTCCTAGCTCTCCCTTGCACAGAGTAGGAATTTAATAAATGTTTACGGAAATGAATTTAATCATGAAGATTTTCTAATCTCTGTAACTCCCCAATTTTTTCTCTGTCCTACTTCTTCTTTGTTTGAATGCTTTCCCTTTCAGGCTCTTTCTGCTAAAACAGGGGTTAACTTTTTTTTTGGCCCAAAGACCAATACGGTAATCTGGTGAGGGCTATGGATCCCTTCTTAGAATGGTTTTTAATGGATAAATACATAGGATTACCAAGGAAACTGGTTATGCTGAAATAAAGATGTAACTTTTCTCCTCAGCCAAATTCACAACTGCCTAAAACCTATCTATGGTCCCCTTCATAGAAGGAAGCAAAGGCTAAGACTCTGATCTGCATCTTCCTGACAGACTCCTGCCCAGACTCTCCGGCCTGGATTCCTGACCTCATGTTTCGGAACGTGGCTGACCTCCCTGACACCAATACCAGTTATCTTTACACTCTGCTCCCTGACTCCTGCCATACAGAATGGCTACAGCCTTGCATGTTTCCTCCTTCCAGCTTTGCTTGTACTCAGAATACCCACTCTCGCTCTTGCTCTCCCTCTCTACCTGATAAAATCCCATAACCAACCCTCTCAAAGCCCAGTTCAAATGTCACCTCCTCCAGCAAGCCATCCTTCATCCATAGTCAAAATGACTGCTCCTTCCTCCAGCTCTGCAGAACACTTTGTTTGTTCCTCTTATAAACTTCTCTTCATGATCTCAGTTATGTGTTCTATCTTTTGCCACCTCTCCCTCCTAAGCTAAAAGCTACATGAAAGCTATATTCTCTGTATCTACCTGCCTGTTTGCCCCAGTGCCCTGTATAAAGTGATTAATGAATGTTTGTTGAATTGAAATTCCCAAAGCACAATTTCTCTCTATGTATGTGTATATATATTTGTGTGTGTATATATATATGTACACACACACACACATACACATACACATACACACACACATTCTCTCTCTCATTCTAGCCCTTCATTCTCACTTATGGCATTGTGTCTGGCCCCTTTCATACTTCCCAACCATAACGGGCTTAGCCTGTGGCAAAGTCCACATCTGACCCTCTGGAAGGCCCTTGGCTGGTTTTATCTTATCAAGTCCTTGTGATTGGTAGTCCTTCCTCTTCCACATTTCCCAGGGGGGAACCAGACCACGAAAGGACCAAGGAAGGCAGAAATAAGTATGTATCCAGATCAGAAGCAAAGAACTCACTTTAAAGAAGAGGTAGAGGCCTAAAAGTGTGCAGCTAGCGATGATGGGAAACCGGGCAGCATCTCGACTGGTAATGGTCTCTGGCATATCTGAGGCATTCTGCAATCAGAAGAAGAGCATTGGCTTGTCATGAAATCAGGTGTTCCTCTATTCCTATTAAAATTTACACTGTGATTTCCTGAATATCCTGTGAGGTAGAGATTGCAAGGATTACTATTCGCATTTTACAGAGAAGGAAATGAAGATTTCTAGAGGTTATAGGCAGCTTGGCATAGCAGAAAAAGGCTGTATTATGAGTCAGAGGGTCTGGATTCAAACCCCAATTCTGTTACTGATGACCTCTGTGACCTTGCACCAATAACTTAACTTTTTCTTCTCTGTAAAATGTGTGTGTGTGGTGGACTAGATGACTTTTTAAAATCCTTTCCAATTCTAAATTTATGTACCTATGACTTGCTTATAGTCACAGAATTGATAAGTGATAATATCAAGCTAAAATTTTAACCCAGTTCTAGCTCCCTTTCCACTACATGATGTTTCTTCTCATCAATACAAAGTACAGGATGGTAAGCTCTGGTCATACAGCAATTTATGTGAAAAATAACCTGGGAGAGGGCTTCCTTAGAGAATTACCAAGTCAGTATTACCCAGAAATGTGATGAGGCCACCAAAAAGGCTAATGTCCTCACACTGTATTAAAAGAGGTAAAACATAGGGAATAAGGTGATGACGTTCTCTGTCCTGCTTAGGTCATCCCTGCAATACTATGTTCTGCTATGGACACGTTATTTCAAGAGGGAAATCGAAAAGCTAAAGAAAGATCCACGGGAGGAACTAGAGCTAGTTACCCTGAAGAAGTGTTAGAGGAGACACAATCTATGGTTCAAGCACCTGAACAGCCATCATATGGAGGGCTTGTTTCGTATGGCTCTGAAGGCCAGTACTGGGCCCACTGGATGGGACTGAGACAACTGTAGGGAGCTTTCAGTTCAATATAAGAAAGAACTTCCTAACCATTAGAGCTATTCCACGACGGATTGTACTGGAATGAGGTCCCCATCACTGGATGATCACCTGTGGGGATGCTAAAGAGGAGATTCATATTCCAGGCAGGGTTGGATGGGATAACCTCTAAGGTTCCTTCCAGCTAAGAAAGAATTGTGGAAATGAGATATTGGGCTTCAGAGGATCTTGAGATTTAGAACTGGAAAGGGCCTTAGATCCCCAACCCTCTCAATTCAATAAATATTTATTAAACACATAATACCTGATAGGTCCTGTGGATACAAAGACAAAAATCAAAATCTCTGGGGGGGAGATGGTGATGGGGGCAAGAAGAGGAGGGAGTGGGAGTGGAATATGTATTGAGATAAGTAAATATGAAAGATAAACAAGATAAATACAAAATAGGTTCAGGAGGATATTGAGAAATCAAGAGAGGCCTTTAGTGCAAGGCTTATACTCTAGAACTAAGCCTTGAAGGAAACTAGCGATCCTAAGAGATGCTTGTGAAGACAAAGCATCCCAGGTATGGGGGCTAGTCCACGGAAAGGAACTACGACAAGAGAGGAAATACCATGTATATGGAATAGCACACGTAGGATCAGTTTGGCTGGACTGTTGAACACATGAGGAAGAAGCTGACACCTGCTAACAGAGAGGTCACATCCCACAGGTAGTTTAAGGGCTGGGTCAGAATTCAAACACAGGCCTTCTAACCCGAAGTCCAGTGTTCTTCCAATTGTTCCAGCCTGCCTTATCATTGCCCAAGCAGGCCACAAGACCTACGCCTCAGGGAAGGTTCTCATCTGCCCCACTGGCTTATCGATGAAGGCAGAAATTCACCAACAGATTCCTTTTTTTTTTTTTTGGTGATGGCACTGCTCCCTCCAAAACACAAATACCTTTGGCACACATTAATAAAGCAATTTAAATCAGGCCATCAGATCCATTCTAGTCAACAGAAGATGCTCCACTCTCAGAAGAGGAAGGACACACACACATCAGACTAGCTCTGAAGGAGTGAAAGGAAAAGGCTCTAGATTCTTGTATTCCAAGGGGAGAGCAGGCCTCCCTGATCCCAGGGTGCTGTAGAAAGGTATCAGATTAATAGATTCTGAACCTGAAGGAAGCTTTGAGGTTACCTAGTTCACTGCTGCACCTCTCCCTTCTCCTTGAATTTAGAGATGGAGAAACTATAGTACAGAGAAGTGACTTGCTGATGCTTACAGCAAACAAGCATCATGAGGTTTGCAGAGCCAGGACTAGAACCCAGGTTTTTTTCCCCTTTGGGCTGGACATTTCCCAGTATGCCTTTAATTGCTTTTCTGTGGCTAAAAGGATATAGGGTTTAAAGCAAGGGCAATGGTATGCCCCCAGAACACATCTTTTCCCCCAGGTACTTTAGTCAGAAGACCTGAAGTTGTTTAAAGTTTGAGGATGGGTAGGAACCAGCCCAAGAACTCATAACTCACTGCTCTGGGTTTGCCATTCCCTTCTGAAAGAGAGACAAACTTGGGCAGCAGGGCTTCATTTTTTCCCTCTCCCATGCAGCAAAGCCTAGGAGGCCTGAAGTCTATCCTTGGTATTGTCTTATTATGTAACCTGGGCCAAGGCCTTCATCTTCTCTGCTGCTCTTCCTACCTGCAAAAAGGAGTTATTACAAGTGACTTCCTTAAACTCATTAAAATTATTACAGGGCTTATAGTGTGGACAGCCTAGTATCTGTCTGCAGAAAAGAGTTCAACAAACATTATTTGGTATAGGTAATTTGTAAAAGGCAGAAAGGCATAATGGCAACTATGTTGTTCTTAGAAATATAAGACCAAGAATAGAGTCCTGATATAGCCTCACCTCACTTTTCGGAGCCTCAGTTTCCTCTGTTAACTGAGAAGGCTGGAGACCTAATGGTCTCAAAGCTCTGATCTACTATAACTTTTTTAATTGATGTAAATCTCTCCTTCTTAAGTTGGTGCTACATAGAGATAGCCTGTGGGTGTTCTGTTCTCTGTGAAGAGGATCATTATAAGTTTCCAGTTTTCCTATGTCAGGTTTTTATAACGTCAGACTAACTATTTTAAAATCTGGTTGGCAATTCAGATGTTGGATCTTATCTGGCAGTTTCTTTAAGCCACAGAAAATAAGTTAGGTTTCTGGACTACTTCAAGATCTTAAATAGGCACACTTATGCATATTCGTTGGCTTCTGAAACACAAACATAATTAGTGAAACCCTGACACAAACAGCAAGAATAAATTTAGCATCCAACTGCAACCTAAAAGCACAGTTATTAGACTCAGACAAAAGCAACAGGAGCTGGCAACTCAGTGTAAAGGCCTGAGGATCTGGGCTTTGCTAGAACAGTCTGCTGTAGTGAACAGAGCCTTAGATGGACAATTAAGAGATCTAGGTTCTAGCCCAAGCTCTTCTACTGACTGGTTCTATGACCTTGGGAAAGTCGCTTTTGGGCCTCTATTTCCCTGTCTGCAAAATAAAAAAGCTGGACTAGATCTCTTAAGGTCCAATCTAGCATTAACATTCTATGATCTAAGGTCCGTTGCAGCTGGGAATAGGCTATATCTCAATTAGAAAGTGACCCGCTCCCCCAACATCTATGACACTTCTTATCTTTCTCCTGTAGTCGTCTTCTGGTTTGGTTCTATCCCTTTTCTACACCACTAAACAGGAGACCTGAAGGGCTTGCATAGGGATGCCTGAAACCAGCAGTGTGCTATAGTTGAGAATATATTATATCTGGAGTCAAGACTCCATTTAATAGTCCACTCAATAGCTGTGACTATGATAAAAGTCATATCACCTTGATAAACCTCAGTTTCCTCATATGTAAAATGGGTGACAATGATACTTGGACTCTCCACCTCATTGGGCTGTTGTGAGGAAAGAGCTTTGTAAACCATAAAATTCTAAAGGAATGTGAGTAGCTATTATTATTATTATGAAAGGTATTGGAGAGGTACAGAAAACTAGGTCACCTCCATGCTTCTTTTAATTTTTCCTCTCAAGCTAGAGTGGCCCTGGTATAAGCACTACTGTTCTTCTTTCTCTTACAGGACAAGCTCCATCCTTCTTGGGAGGGAAAAGGGACTCAACTCTCTCATGGTACTGGCAGGAAGCACCGTGGAGTGGGGTCTTAGGAAGTGGCAATAAGAGAGAGGGAGGTGCCAGCTGTTTCTGAAACTGGCCACTATTCTGGGAATCCAGGCACCTATCTCTTCAGAATGTGGAAGAGTGGTTGTCAGACTAGAAACAGCTCAATTTTTTCTGTGAAAGGCCAACTTAGGGCAGGAGAAGAGTTCACTTGAAGTTCTATTGTCCCAGAGCAACCAGGAAGATGGGAGTGAAGGTAGCCTCTGGTACATGCCAAAATAAATTTATGTTTTTATTACAGGAAATGAGAAGATGAAGGTCAGGGACACAGTTATGGTAGTAGGGTTGAAGAAAAAAGGTAGAAGGGGGATGGAGAGATCACAGAAGACGGGGTCAGCTTGACAGGAGCCAGGATAAATTTAATTTGGGGGAGGGAAGAGACAGACTTTGGCATATCAGGACAAGGACATGGATCAGAGGGGCTTGAATGTAAGGCAGAAAAGGTAGAAAGTTGTGCCTAAGGAATGCCTGGGGATGGTGGGGAGGGGGAACAGAGTTGCAGCTTTAGAAGGGATAAGATAGAAAAGGTGACAGAAGGATGGACAGGGTGCTGGGAGCAGCTCAGTCTCTGAGACAGGCAAAGGCCAAGCTACCTAGGGCTTTTTGGGGGAATGATGAAGTTTAAGGCAGAGACTGAATTATGGCCTTTGGATACCAGATGGATCAGGCTGGTAGGCAAGGGCTGCCCTGAATCCTTAGCCATGTAAACATAAGGTGTGTGTTTTGGGGGAGGTGAAGGAAGGTATACTGTATGATACTGGGGTCCTTCACAAGCAGAGGAAAGGGAATTTTGGGTTGAGGTTGGATCTGGGCAGGTATTGGGGCCCGATTAGGTCCCATGAGGGACTGATGTTGGGCCAATTCATCTAGGGTCTATTTGGGGGAAGGGGGAAATTTAGGCCTGAGGCCAAAGGGAGAGAAATCAAGGTCAGTGGGGATACTCCTGAAGCCTGAGTACCGAGACTGTTCCTATCTCAGAGAATTCGGGCCCAGAAGAAACGACTGGGGGGCTCCATGGTCAAGTAGAAGCTATTTTAGGGTGACTGAGGTAAGTGTTGTGTGGCAAGATTGAGGCAGGATGCATTTATCAAGGGCAGGTTGGGAAACCATCTGGTTTTGTCTTGGTGCCTGTGTTTTTGTGCTCGAATTATATGTAGTATTTGTTGTATGCATGTGGGTGAGGGTTTGTGTCTGATGGGGTGTGGCTCGAGGATTGGGGTCTGCCACAGTCTAAGCGGGTCTGGGTGGGTGGCGGAATTCGGGGCGGCGGCCCGGTGAGGGCCGTGGGCTGGAGGTAAGACTGGGTCACTGGGGAGGGGGTCCTGGGCTCGGATGGGCCAAAGCGGGGGGTTCTATCCCCCCTCCCGGAGCGAAGGCGCGTTGGGCATCGGGTCTGGGCCGTCCCAGGAGGAGGCTGGGGCGGGGCTGGGGGCGGGGGTCCTGGCTCGCGGGTCGCGGGCAGCCAGGGCCAGGGGCCGGTTTGGACGTACCTTGCTGCGGGCGCAGCGCACCGAGCGCAAGGCCCCGAAGAAGATGGGCAGCAGCGCCATGAGTAGGAGGCTGCCGTAGGCCAGGGCGATGCCCTCGGGGGGTGGATGGCGGCCGCGCCGTGCCGTTGGCTGCACTGGGGGCCGCGGGGGGCTCGGCGGGGCCGCTGCCATTGTGGGGTTCGCTAAGGGTCGGGTCCATCGCTGAGGCTGCGGCTGCTGCGGCTGCTGCGGCTCCAGCTCCGCCGCCGGCGCTGCAGGGGAGGGGAGGGGAGGAGAGGGGAGGAGAGGAGGGGAAGGCCACGTTCCCCTAAAGAAACAGGATGTGACGCGCCAGGCCTCCCGCTACTCGTTGCGCATGCGTCGGCCCGCCCCCTAGCAACAAGCGTGCGGCCAGGAGATGGGAAAAGGGTGGGAGGAGAGCGTTGCTAAGCAACCGGATCTGGTCCAAGAATCGGACGCAGAAGCCCAGGGGTGGGGGGTGTAGCATGGGGAAGGGGGGGGAGGGAGAAGTTATACTGCCCCTACGCCACCCCTAACCTGGAGCCCAATCTCTTATCCTGGTACTTCCAAGGTCCGGTCGTTGTGACTCAAACACGCTTCATCCTCTCTGTCTCTTCCCCTCCAAATTGCAACATGGCGTATGTAGTAAAAAGAGCACTGGGTCTGCAGCCAGTGGGCTTGGTTTGAGTTAAGTCTCTTCCCCTTAGTACCAATGTGGCATAATGGACATGGGGTTAGCATCACTGCGTTCAAATCTTGTCTCTGGTATTAGCTATTCGACCTTGGGCAAATCCTTCCGAGGCTCAGTTTTTTCATTTGTAAAATGGAGAAGATAACACCTGCAGTATCTGCCTCATAGGATTATTGTGAGGAACAAACGAAATAATGAATATGTGAAGTTCTTCTTTGCAAACTCTAAAGTGTTATGTATATGTCAGTTATTGTATTATTATTATTGTCATCATCGTCGTCATCATCACCTGTGTGATTGACCTTGGGCAAGCCCCTTTCTCAGTTTCCTCATCTGTGAAATGAGGAAGTTACACTAGAACGTCGTTAAAACCTTTCCATTTATAAGTCTCTTAATCCTTCATCTTCACATCCTGCCCACTATTTGATTACCCATAGCATCATCATTTCGGTTGCTTGCCATCTCACCCCAAGACTCTTCTATTTCAGCTTCTATTATAGATGCTAATTATATTTTCCTCCCTAGTTCAGCCTCCCTACATATCCTTTCCTCCTATTTTGCACCTTGTCTTTTCATTGATCCCATTTCCCTTCATCAGACCTAGGAACAATGTGAACTCTTATTTTAAGACAGAGCATGAAAGACCCTTACCTGTCTCACAGAAACCATAGGGATAGGCTGGCTAGCTGGATTGTGAACATTTGATCATAATTTTTTCAATGATTAAATTTTTTTCTACTATTATACCTTGTGTGGGAAGGTTATAAAATGTATAAGACATCATCCTCCACTAAAATCCTCCTTTCATTCCTCAGTGTGCTACCCTGGGCTTTTGAAGATGATCTCAGCATAGCACAAGCTCTGGTGGGTGTTACTAAGTTAGACAATCCTTCAGTGCAAGCTGAGTGACACACTGTGTCTCCTATCCAAAGACCAGCGTAGCTAAAAGTAAAGTGACTCGTCACCAGAAGGCAACTACGCAGGTGACGAATTTTTAAAAATCATGGCAATTCCTATAGACTGCCCACTAAGGAGTGGAAAGAAGGCTGTGAGCTGTCTGTCCAGAGAGTAACTACAGACCATCAAGCATTTATTAAAGCACCTTCCATATGCACTGTGCTAAGTGATGGGGATTTTAAAAGAGGCAGAAACAGATCCTGTCCTCAAGGATCCCATAATAGGGAGGGCATATAGCTATGTATAAAAAAGATATACACAGCCGTGTCTACCTTTTTATGACTCCATTTGAGGTTTCCTTGGCAAAGATACTGGAGTGGTTTGCCATTTCCTTTTCCAGCTCATTTTACAGATGAGGAAACTGAGGCAAATGGAGTTAAGTGACTTGTCCAGGGTTACACAGCTAATAAGTGTCTGAAGCCAGATTTAAACTCAGTAAGGTGAGTCTTCATGACTCCAGGCCTGGGACTGTATTGCCTTTGCCATCTAGCTGCCCTAAATCAGGTACATACAAGACAGTCAAATCAAGTCAACAAGCATTTATTAAGTGCCTGTTATATGCCAGGCACTGTGCTAAGCACTGGATAAGACCCTGTATCAGTGCTGGGAGTCTGGAACTGACTTTTATATATCCATAAAGACATGTATCACAAATTAGGCAGCCTATTAGATCACTGCACTGGGAGTCAAGAGACCTGGGTTTGAATTCCAGTTCTGCCACTTCAAGATGTCAACAAATCATTTCTCTACTCTGAGTCTTAATTTCTTCTCCTGTAAAACTGGTATAATAGAGTTTATATTACTTACCTCACAGAGATGTTGCAAATAAAGGGCTTTGTAAACCTTAAAATGCTGTAGTGGTGTGAGTTGTTTTTTATCACCATCATCATCATTATTGTTATAGGCTGTCCAAATTACCTCAGTTTCCAAGGAGAGACATCAAGAATTCTGGGTCAGGGATTTCAACAAAACAACCTTAAACTAAGGCTTTCAGCTTTGATTTAATAGTGCTTTATATCACTTATTCCCACAGCAACCTTCTGAAGTAGGTAGGACAACTATTATTATGCCCATTTTACAGAAGAGGGAACTGAATTCATTACTGAAGGAAACTATAGAAGGCTTTTGTTTCTTCTGGGGTTTATAATTTGACATAGCTGGACTCAGAACATATCCTGTCACCTTTATAGCATATAGCCGCTGTATAGGGAGCACAATAGATGAAGACCTGAGCTTGAATCCTGACTCAGAAAGCTATTTTTTTGTTTTGTTTTTTGCAAACTTTAAAGTGCTATATAAATGCTACTAGGAAGGAGATAGTGCAAAGGAAGGGGAGGGGTTGCTTGGATTTTCTGTTTGAGTCATCAGATTAGGTGACTAGAGTGGCGAGAATGTCTGTTTTCTTCCACCCTCACCACTTCATCGTTTCTTAGAGGCATAGGATTTAGAGCAAGAAGAGACCTTGGAGATCACATAATCTGATTCTTTTATTTACAGAGATCTTAAAGACCATTTTATCTAGCTGCCCTTATTTTATAGTTGGGAAAACAGGTTCAGAGAAGGGAAATTATTTGCTCAATGTAACACAAGGACTTCAAGTCCAGCTCTTGATTTCAACAAATGTCTATTATGTTTTGGACCTTGTGTGGCGGTGTAAGATGTAAAGATAGATACATCAGAGACTCTTCCCTGAAGAAGCTTACAACCCACTGGGGGGAAAGACACTGACACAAAAAACCATGACACAAGAAAGAATTAGATGAATGCAATGGAAAGATCTGGGCAATATGCCATAAGAAATTTGAGAAGAGAGAGAGCACTTGCTTGAGAGTCACATGACTACAGTTATTTTAAAATGTATGGATTGTAGTTTCAAGTTGAAAGGTAACTCTTTTTGGTGGAAACCTGAATGAGAGCCAGAAAACCTACAGTTCAAGGCCCAGCCCAGACACTTATGAGTTGTTGTGAACATGGTGAGGGAATTAGGATAGGGAGTGGTTAATTGTGGAAATTGAGTTAACCACACTGACTCCATCTTGTGATTCAGTTCTGGAGCTAGCTCAGTTCCCTTTCTACTCAATTATGGGTCTAGCCCAATTTCTGTCTTGTGAGAAAACTTTAATCAATTGTGGGAATGGGAGAAAATTTTATTGCATTGCTTGAACCCATCCCTATGCTGCTGGGAAGCTGGACCACCTCTATCTGCTGCCTAGAGAACCTTAACTAAGGACCTAGTTAACTAGTTAGCCGACCAGAAACCCAGTCAGATCCAAAGACTGATGCAAGGAGTTTTCTCATAACTACACATCTGCAAACTGGCCCCATACTGATAGATCAGTTATTTCCATGTTCCTTTGATTGTATACAGTCATTGCATACCACTTGAGAGAGATACCTCTTTTTCTGATTGCAGGGAATTGTACTTGTTCACTTTCACCCTCCCAACTTGGAAAGTACTCAATCTTTTCTCCAATTAGAAATCAGATTACCTGATATTGTATCCTGGTTAATTGCTTTCTTTTAATTAATTGGTCTTATTTGATTGTTTTTAATGCACAAAAATATGTTTCCTCCTATATTCTGGGTCCAGTGCCAAAGCTGAGGAGGCCTGGTCCTGACTTGTTAGGCAATTGGCATGCATTGCTTAAGAACTCAGTATGCTCAGAAGCTCCAACCTTTGTTCCCTCAGACATTTCATCTTTCATCTACCACAATGGTCAGTCAGTCAGTCATCCAAGAAGTATTAAGCACCTACTATGTATCAGGCACTGTGCAAATCACTTACCTCATCTGTAGGTTGGGGTTAAGGATACTTGTGCTAATTCTCTCATGGGAATATTATAAAGGAAGGGCTTTATAAAGGTGAAATGCTATTTGGTGTGTACTACGAAAGAAAAAATCCTATTGCACTTTATTTCCTGTAATAATAGCCTACATTTGCATCATTACTTTATACTTTACTTTTTTAAAAAAAGTAATCAGTTAATTTGATCCTTAGAACAGTCTCCATCTCAGTATTTGTTTTTTCTGGACCTGAGCTCAAGGTCAAGGAGACCTAGGTCTTAGGTATAACTTCAAGTAAGTCACTTCTCTTTTCTAAGTCTTACTTTTCCTGTCCAGAAAATGAGGAGATTAAAAGAAATGGTCTCTAAGGCACCCTCGTGCTCTAACATTCCGCATTCTAATCATGCCTTTCTTTGCAGCACTCGCTATTTATTTTATGACTAAGGGTGCTTGCAGCTCTAACATTCTGCATTTAGCAGTTTAAGGGTTCTTTTAGTTCTATCATTCTGTATTCTAAGAGTTCTTATTCTACCATCCTAAATGCCCTGCCAGCTATCACATTCTATGAGAGTTATGAAGTGAACTCTGTTCAAAAAACCCTGCTTGAGCCTTTCCGTGGAAAGTTTGCTATTTGCCAGCAGAGAGCAGCATGAGGACACAGCAGACAAACAGGGGCTGTTTGGACTGGCTAGGCTGCAAACTGAGAACCACGGGATGATGTCTGCCTCCAATTGGAGAATGCTTCTTTTTGGGTACCTGTCTCCCCCTCTCCTCCCCCTCTCCTTTCTCCCTTTTCACTTAACCTCTCCAGCTCATAAAACACTCATTTAGTTATAACCCCGGTCATTTGGATGCTGTGGTGGAGCGGAATGT